AAATAAATAAATAAAAATAATGCGTGTAATATGTCTGCCACATAGTAGGTGCTCAAAAGATAGCAGCTGTTATTACTATTTCTTACTACTTGAAGATAAGCTTCTAGAAAGCAAATTGTACTTGAAGATAAGCTTCTAGAAAGCAAATTGTACTTGAAAATAAGCTTCTAGAAAGCAAATTGTACTTGGATTCCCAGTACTATATATAGGATATACTCAGTAAAGGCTGGTTAAATTGGCCAACAATGGCAACTAATGCAGAATAAGTGCTGCCTCTTGATTCTCAAAGGACTTAAAATCTAGCTGAGAAAATAAATTCCAAAACAGATTAATAATATATGTAAACAGTTAAACAACATAATATTTATTATGGTCTCTATTACTTACAACAATCAAGCAAAACACATTACTGGCCATAGAGCTATGAATGGCAATGCAGAAAATGCTGGTTTCTGGCTGTAGTTAACATGTGTGTGTTTCTATGACATATCCTATGAAAATGCTCAATTCTTCAGCAAAATTTCGTGGCCATACCTGGAGTCCTGATGTGGCGCTGTGGGTTAATGTTCCAGACTGCAAAACCATTTGAACTGCAAGGTTGATGGTTCCAGCTCACCAGCTGCTCCTCGGAAACCCTATACAGGGTCACTATGGGTCGGAATTGACTCAATGGCACTTAACAACAACAACAACAACAAATACCAGTCCTGGTATGGTGCTTTAGAATAAGCACTGGACCACAAGGCTGGTTTGAACTACAAGGTCTGCTGTTCAGACTCACCAGCCACTCCTCAGAAATCCTATACAGGGTCTCTATGAGTCGGAACTGACTTGATGACACTTCACAACAACAACAACATTGAGGAGTCCTGGTGTGGTGCTATAGGATAAGCACTGGGCTGCTAACTGAAAGGCCAGTGGTTCAAACCCTGTAACTGATTATTGGAAACTCTATACAGGGTCACTATGAGTTGGAACCAACTCGTTGGCACTTAACAACAACAAGAACATACCAGTACTGAAATTGTCAAGGATTTCATTTTACTTGGACACATAATCAATACCCAATGGAAGCAGCAGTCAAGAAATCAAGAGACATATTACATTGGAAAAATCTGTTACAAAAGATTTCTTTGAAGTGTTAAAAGGCAAAGATAAAAGTTTGAGGATTAATGTGTGCCAGACTCAAGCCATGGTATTTTTAAGCACATCATGTGCATGTGAAAGTTAGACAATCAATAAGAAAGACCAGATCAGAATTGTTGCATTTGAATTATGGTGTTGATGAAGAATATTGAATATAAGAGGAAATTGCCAGAAGAACAAACAAATCTGTATTAGAAGAAGTACAGTCAGAATATTTTCCAGAAATGAGGATGGTGAGATTTCATTTCACATATTTTGAAGATGATATCAGAAGATGACATCAGATGGCATCAGTTACTGGAGAAGGCCATCTTGCTTAGATAAATTAAGAGTCAGAAAAAAAAAGGAAACTTTTCAATGAGATGCACTGATACAGTGATTACAAGAGTGACCTCAACATAGCAATGATTTTGAGGATGGTACAGGACTGGGCAGTGTTTCATTCTGTCCTGCATAGGATAGCTATGAATTGCAATTGATTCACTGGCAACTAACAGTAACAACACACCAATATTGAATAAAATGGATCAGCATGTTGCTTCTATGTTAGGTGAAGACACACAAAATCACATTTTTTTTTTATCTTGGGTAATTAATTTTTAACAATCTGTGTTTAATTGAAAATCATTAATAGGTATTGATAATATTTGGTAGTTGTCTTTGTTTAAGCAATAGAGTCATTTCTGACTCATAGGGACGCTGTGTAGGGTTTCTGAGGAGCAACTGGTGAGTTTGAACTGCGGACCTTGAGGTTAACAGTCTAGTCCAGTGCTTATCCTACAGAACCACACCAGGACTATCACTTAAATAAATATTTAAAATTTTATTTTAAAACTACAACTTATACTCAATCCCATGTCTCACTTCTTTGTAGAGTGTTTTACACAGATTTTCATTGTATTGCTTCATCCATAATCATAAATTGCTGTCTTTTCCTATTACCAAAATCTTTGCTTGCAGCTCTAATAGATGGGAGTAAGAAAGCATGAATACAGAGTTTTGTTTTATTTGCTTTGGGGCATTCTCTCCTTTCTGTTACTTGAGTTTGTTGGCAAAGGCATTTGAAATCGATCCAAATACAAAAGGCAGACCCATTAAGGGTTTTTGATACACTGATGATCACATTGACAGTTTCAGACTCCTGATTACTGAACTGATTGCAACCACCAAAGACTTTCACAAGTTCTGATATTAGGAAAACAGATGATGATCTTCTTCCACCGGCTTGAAATCCACATAGGGATGATTGAGAATCCACTGGGCCACCTGGCAAGCAGGCACGCATCAGTAGGCCCGTACTATACAGAGGTCAGCCTGTGAAGACCACCTGGTGCTCCTAGAGTAAGCCACTTGCTCATACACCTGCATCACCATGGCAGACAGCTTTCCTGGAAACACACGTGCACGCACACATTTATAGCCACATGACATACACCTAGATGAAAATAAATGAACATTATTCACATACACACAAACTCAAGTCTGGAATAAAGCATTTGGTTAGCCTGATAAGTAAAGCTCACTTAATTTACACGTTTTGAGGCTCGCACAAATCCCTGGAACATTGGTATGCTTTTTAGAATGACCCATTCACAAAGTGTCCCTGGGTGCGTCCCAGGGTGAACAAAGCAGCAACTTAGACTCTGCCTTTCTGGTCTTTTCAGTTCTTTCCAGAGCTCTCCCTGAACTCCCAGGGGCTGCCTGGCGCCGGCCAGCAGACATCCTACTCCGGGTCCTCCCCGCCCGATAGTCGCGCCGCGGGGCGGGGCCGAGCAGGCGGCCAGGAAATGCCCAGGAGTGTGTGTCACCTGCCCCCGACTACTTGTTGATTCCTAGGAGCGCCGCCTTCTAAGCCTGGGCCCCCAGAGGACCTTCTGGCTCACCTGTCCCCACCGGCACGGCCCCGGGGAGCACCTGAGACGCCCCCGGGACCACTTTCTCCCCAACTTCGCAGCTATGAGCAAGCTGGGCAAGTTCTTTAAAGGGGGCGGCTCTTCTAAGAGCCGAGCTGCTCCCAGTCCCCAGGAGGCCCTGGCCCGACTGCGGGAGACCGAGGAGATGCTGGGCAAGAAACAAGAGTACCTGGAAAACCGAATCCAGAGAGAACTCACCCTGGCCAAGAAGCATGGCACAAGCAACAAGCGAGGTAGGCTTGGGGTCTTGCCCTCAGGCGTGAGCTGTCATCCACCTACCTCCAGCCCTTGCCTGGAGATCAGTCTGGCCCACAACACTCCCAGTCCCCAGGCGGCCAGGTAGGAGTCGGCTTCACTTTTCTAGGATTTGGTACTTCATGACCACCAGGGCCGGGACTAGGGCGAAACTCATCGAGGCTTTTGATTAAAAGCAAAATTCTGAAGGCGAGATTGGCATTCTTGATTTATTTTCATTTTATGTCTTTCTATATCTCTCCGCATGGGGCTTCTTTAAAGTTTAAGTTTAGGTATTTCGTTCATTGTGGATTTTCTTCCCTTTAATGTTGAGTTTTAGAAATGCAGCATTTAATCATTTCTTATCTTGATTACTCAGTTTTTGGCACCCCGTTTATATTTTGCTCTTGGCTCCCTTCACCCTAGTCCCAGCCAAAGAATAATCATCTATTTTTCAAACTTTCTGTTGTTTTTATGCGAATGCCAAATCACGCAGTTTAACATGTGCAAATTTTCAGTGAACCATACTCTAGTAAGTTTGGTTTTGTTTGCTCCTCAGTGCTTGAAAATTTTATTGGCTGCTGTGCAGTTAAGGGAAAGAAACAAACATAATTACTTCGTGTTAATAGTAGCTGCAAACACGAGGAACTTTGAGTCAGAAACGATTCTTAGTGCTTTTGTTGCACCTTGAGCCCTTTGTAACTTGCCAAACTTAATTGGTTTCTTCAGTATATGACTCTGTCTACAGAGTACGATGGCTCCGTAGGATAAGCACTGGGGTGGGAACCACAAAATGAGCAGTTCAAGCCCACCAGCCACTCCATGAATGGAGAATGATATATGAGGCTTTCTGCTTCTGCAAAGAATTACAGCCTCAGAAACCTTATATAGGCTCACTAGGAGTTGGAACCAACTCTATGGCACATAACATGGGAGAATATATAGAGAGAATAGATTTAAAAAGCAGCTGTGGCTTATAAAAATCCAGTGAGTGGAGTATTGTAACTCCAAGTCCATACGCAGACCCAGAAATAGAAGTGGTAAAACAGGAAGACTGCTCGCCACTAAATCCTGATCATTTGCCTCCTGAAGTCGGGCTCCTTTAGTCACAGGAAAGCCTTGGGAAGTCTTAACTCACCCTGAAAGGTGCTATCATTGTTTAATGCAGGAAAAGAATGATGTCTCATGGTGTTGACCTTAAAAACCTTGAATCTTTCCTATGAAACTGTGCCTAATACATTTGTGCCCACTTAATTAACAATATAAATAAAGGAGCCCTGATGGCTCAGTTGGCTAAGCATTGGGCTGCTAACCACAAGGCCATCCATTCAAATCCACTGGCCTCTTCTCAGGAGAAGATAAGGCTTTTACAAAGAGTTAGAGTCTTGGAAAGTCTAAGAAACAATTGTACTCTGCCCTATGAGGTAGTTATAGAGTCCTGGTGTGGTGTTATAGGGTAAGCACTCGACCTTTAGGTTGGTTTGAATGACAAGGTTGGTGGTTCAAATCCACCAGCTGCCCCTCAAAAACTATACAGGGTCGCTATGAGTTGGAATCTACTCGACGGCACTTAAAACAACAACAACATAATGTAGTTATGGAATCCTGGTATGGCGCTGTAGGAATAAGTACTGGGTCACAAGGTCAGTTTGAACTGCAAAGTTGTCAGCACAAACTCACTAGCTACAATTCAGTGGCCCTTACCAACAACACCAACAATGGACCAGATGACAGTGAGTTGGGTTGGGTTTTTAGATTATCAGCAACATGAAAGTCAAGTTTTATTTTTTGTGTGTATGTGCTCTGCTATTACTTTTGTTCTATTATAGTCTGTTATAGAGCTATGTACTAGTATCTATTTTTAGTGTATGTTGAAAAATACCTTGGAAAACTATGAAATGGCAGTTTCCAAAAATGAGACTATGCTATTATGGCTTGCTAAATAATGTCTTTGGTCATTCTGTTCCTTAGCCCTTTCACTTCGTTTGATTCAGATTCTGACATTTCCTTTTAAAAAAAGTTTTTTCCCCCGCTTCTTTACTCTTTCTTCTGGAGTTCTGCTGTAGTGCTGCAGTGGCTCAAATCCACCAGCCACTCCTTAAAAAGCCAATTCGTGGTCACTATGAGTCTAAACTGATGGAATAGTACTTAACAACAACAACAACCTGTCATCCATTTGTATTCATATATAGCTTTAGCTACAGTGGTTGCTCAGTTAAGTATTGGTTTTAAAACTGACAACTTGAACATCTGCTTCTAGGAAGTAGTAAATATATAGCTTGCTTTTAGAAAAGAAAAATGTAAAGATAACACTAATTAAGAGCTGAGACTTCCTTAAATCAAGGAAGTTACAGCTGCAGGTGCCAAGTACAAACAGACAACTGGTGTTAGAAATACCACTTATTCTTTGCTATTCATCTATGGAAGATTTACCGGTGAGACCGTGGCCCTGGGGGTAGGAAGTCTTGTTAGCATGAGGTCATCTATAATCTAAACTGTGGAAGAATTCATTCACAGGCCCATGCTTTGAAATCTGTCAACTTCTGTATCTTCCGAATAAACTAGTTACTTCATAGACACACAGTTACTGTCTTCCATAACCTACCAAGAAACATTCTTATACACGTAGTAAAATAAACTCAATTTAAAAACAAACAAAGCAAAAAACCCATCCGTTGCTTTTGAGTTGATTCTGACTCATGGTGAACCCACGTGGATCAAAGTAGAGCTGTGCACCAAAAGGATTTTTCAGTGACTGAGTTATTGGATATAAATCACCACGTCTTTTTCCTCCAAGATGCCTCAAGTGGACTCTAACCTTGGTTAGCAGGCAAGCATGTTTTGTACCAGGGACTCAAAGTCCAACATTAAAAGCACTCAAACCAAATCAGTTGCCATTGAATCATTTCCAATTCATGGAAACCCCAAGTGTGTAAGAGTAGGACTGTGTTCCATAGTGTTTTCTTTGGCTATATTTTTGGAAGTAAATTGCCAGGCCATTCTTCCAAGATGCCTCTGAAGAAATGAACTGCCAACTTTTTTGGGGATGGCAATTGATTTTTTAAATGGATCCTGAGCTATACAATGCCACTGTTAGAATGGTGACAATTTATATTATCATCAGAGTGGCATAATGTAAGAGTATATACAGTGTTTATGTTTTCCTTCAAGTGGTATCAAGAATTCATGGTTTTTGTAGCATGACACTTCAAAAAGTTGGAACTAGAAATACCATATGACCCAGCAATCCCCTCTACTTGGTAGCAAAGTAAGAACCAGGATACAAATAGATATATGCTCACCCATGTTCATCACAGCACTATTCACAATAGTGAAAAGATGGAAACAATCTAAATGTCCATTCGTGAAGACAGATTAACAAATTTTGGTATGTATACTCATTGGAATACTATGCAGTGTTAAAGAATAACAACAAGTCTATGAGATGTCTCATAGCATCTGATTCTGGAGGGCATTATACTGAGTTGAATCAGTCAATCACAAATGGAAAAATATTATATAAGACCACTAATGTAAAAAGTCAAGAAAAGGTTTTCACACTAGAGCTAAATTCTTTGATGGTAACTAGAGGTGGGAGAGAGAGGGGAGATAAGTCACTGGCTAGAGGGTAGACATGTATTAACTTGAGTGAAGGGGGAATAGGAGGAAGATGAGCAAAAAATGATGGAGACAGGGAGATATGTGGAGAAGTACAATAGTTGGAGGCAACAGAGGCGAACAATGTTATATACACAATTCTGCAATAACAATAATCTATGAGATGATGCATGGATAGACATGTAGGCTGAACGGGTACGGGAGGGACAGTGGGACTATACTCATGAATAGATATAGGGCTGATGGGATTTTTGTACATGGGTATTTACTTACCTTTACTGCAGCATAGTGGTTATGAATTGGGCTGTGAACCTTAAGGTCAGCAGTTCGAAACTACCAACTGCTCTGCGGGAGAAAGATGAGGCTCC